AAACAGTTGGGCTACATAAACTGGAGAGGATAAAGAGCTTGCTGCTCCACTATTTATTAGTTGTTGTAGATTTTCCAGGCTGTATGGCTGTGGTCTTGGCATTGTAAGATCTGATTTTTCGCCAGCAGCTGTGACTGGCATCCTCAGAGGTATAACACAGAAAGATGGAGTACTCTCTGTGTCAAGGTGAGAAGAAAAATGGTAGGCAGATAATTTATATCTACTCAGGAAAGTGGGATAGGGCTGAGTCATTATCTTGTAGGAGTCCCCCAGGCTGTGACATGCTAATGGAGGCGCTTTCCTGAGGAGATTCTTTTGCATATGGATTGGCGGTTGAAATTCTAATCTTATATGTAGTGCTATTGTAAGATGTAGAGCATTTTGTGTTTTTCAGGACAGGAAACCATGCCCTATTTATTTTTAAACTCTCTTCTTTCCTGTTTAAATTGTGTTTATACTTATGAATTTCAATGGCTTCCCTGTGTAATCTGACATGATAATTGGATGTGTTGTCCAGCCTTTCAGTGTCTTGGAATAAGATACTGTGTCCTGTTTGAGTTAGGCTATGTTCAGCCACTGCTGATTTTTCAGGTTGGCCCAGTCTACAGTATCTTTCATGTTCTTTTATTCTTGTCTGAATGCTACGCTGTGTGGTCCCGATGTAAACCTGTCCACAACTGCAGGGTATGCGGTATACTCCTGCAGAAGTGAGGGGGTCTCTTCTGTCTTTTGCCGATCGTAGCATCTGTTGTATTTTTCTGGTGAGTCTGAATACTGTTTGTAGGTTGTGTTTTTTCATAAGTTTTCCCATCTGATCAGTGATTTCTTTGATATATGGCAAAACACTTTTCCTGTGGGAGATTGTTTTACCTTTGGTTTAATCTATTTATTATTATTTCAGGTTAATTCACCAGTACATTCATCATTTTCTCTCCCCACTCCAACCCTTCCTTTTCACTGTTGACACTTTTGGCCTTTCAGTATCAAAAATCAAGACTAGATACTTACGGCTGTGTTCACGCACATACTCAACGAGTTCACAGGGCTGGGGGGGGAAAACAAAATGAGATAAGAGTCATTCACTAGTAGTATATGTTTTTCTTAGTGGATAATGTGTAATGCATTCTACAGATATACATACCGAAAATGAGGCCAGTCCCTTTGTTCCTTTTGCACCCTAGAAGAACAGCACAGGAATCAGAAAACTGTATGCACGGACATTTACCTGGAAGTTACCTTGTCTATCTGCCTACACTAGTCACAGGTAAGAGCCTTCATTCATGGTGCCCTAACAAAGCAGTCTATCAAGGGTACAGGAGCAGCATAGATGTCTCTTCTAAACAGCAGCAAAGATATGGGAGCTTTTTTTTTTCCTTCTGATCATCTGAAGAACCCATGATTCCATGAGAAGGAAGCCAGCTGTATGAAGGAGCTCCCTCCCAGGGGGCATAATGTAACTCACAATTCAGATTACTTCATGTGCTTTTAAATGCAGTGGAAAGACCAGTACTTATCAGGAAAGTATACATTCTGGTAATTAAAAAGATGTTGTTTCTGACATAGGTAAAAATAGTACACAATTGATCAGAGCAAGGCATACCCGATGTCCTGGATAACCCCATTCTCCCGGGGTGCCTCTTATACCGGTTTTCCCTGCAGGACCCTGGGAAAAGTATATAGCTAGTTATATAGTTATAACACTAAAAATGTAAACAGTATATAACAATGGGAAAAGGTACCACCAACACCAGCAATCATGAAATCTAGTCAGTGTGATACATTAAGATAAATGTCAGGGGGTAGGAGAGGACTGGAAAAAAAGGCAGTTTACAATGTACTATTATAGCCCCCCTCCCCCCCCCACTTTCCAATTCCCTGTTTCTCTTGCAGACCGTTACAAAGCCTGTGAGCTTTCCTTGGCTGTGGACAGATCAATAGAAGAAAGTAAGTAAGTTGTTCACGTTGTGGCTGCAGCCCAGGCCATCTGAGTGCAAATTTTAGCACGCTGTGACAGCAATCTGTATATATTTCTGTTTACACATCATTGTGCTATTTTCTATAGGACCATTCTGCCCATGTTCTCTTCCAGTGCCCTCTCTATTTGGCGTCCTGTCGGGATCTTCTATATCCCATATTAGGCCATTTTTTAGAGTCCCCTGATGATTTTAAGCTTCTTTTCTTGGTTTTCTATGGCAACAATGTTAACTAGGACCATTCTGGTTAAAAATGGAGACTGCAATGGGACATCTGGCTAACGGGAAAAATTCCCAAGAAACCAGTGCGTACTTCCTGGGATTGGCCACACTAGTTTTAGACCTGTGTATGATACTCCAAAGGATGATGATGGTTAGACAGTGTCATAGATGCAACGAACATGAAATTGAGCAAACTTCAGAGGATGGCGGACCATTCTGGTTAAAAATGGAGGCTGCAATGGGACATCTGGCTCACGGGGAAAATTCCCAAGAAACCAGTGTGTGCTTCCTGGGATTGGCCACACTAGTTTTAGACCTGTGTATGATCCTCCATGTTCCTTGAAGTCAACTGAGGAGAAATCCTGCTTGGCGATCTCAGATCTGTGACGGAACAAAGCTGGGCCTTTAATGATGTGGCTCCAGGATTGTGAGATAAGCTTCTTGAAAACCCCTCACTTGAACAATGGGTTATACTATGAGTTCAGGTTTTTTTGTGATTGGTTTTATTATGTTTTAGGTTCTAATTTAATTTAGGTTCAATATTTGTAATCTACTTTGAGCCATCCAATGAATCATAACCTTAAGTATACCACTGGTGATAGAAAGCCCACCAATCTGCAAGTCTCCAAAGGAGGGAATGCATAGTTTAAAGGTAACATAATAGGGTCTTCTCAGAATATGAAACAAAAATAATACACTGTAAGGACCATATATCGTCAGGGCTCTTTTTGTAGCAGGTACTCATTTGCATATTAGGCGACACACCCCTAATGTAGTCAATCTTCCAAGAGCTTACAGTAGCTCCTGTAAGAAGAGCTCTGTAAGCTCTTGGAGGATTGGCTACATTAGGGGGGCGTGGCCTAATATGCAAAGGAGTTCCTGCTACAAAAAGAGCCCTGAGTCCCCCAAAGACCTCCAAGGAATACCAGGGGCAGGACACAGAGGCAGGCAATATCAAGCCACCTCTCTGAAACGTCCAAGCCCCACTAGGGGTCACCAGATGTCA